GAATACCTCTGTGGCTTCTTTTCTTGAAGTTCACCTCTGGGATTCTCCTCCATATAGAAACTAATGCCTCTTTAGAACATCTGGTTTTTAGACTTTTACTTGACACGGGCAAGGTTAATAGTGTTTTGGATGAATATAAAACACAAGAGTCAGTATTGTTATAAACATGCTAATATGATTCCACTATTTTGTTCTTCTGTGTCTCAGAAATAATGCAATTTTTCAAATGTTAAGGGAATTTTGAATGGTAAAGTTCTCCTCTACAAATAATACCACTGGGAGCTAAGGCAGAGACAGATATTGAAATGGTGATTTGTTTATTCATGAGAGTATACAGTCACTTATTTCTTCACAAGGTTTGAAAATATCCACATTCTCTCTCTCTCCCTCCCTCCCTCTCTCTTTCTTTTCTTTCTTTCTTCTTTCTTCACTTCCACAGGCTCCAATTCACAGCTGGCTCAAATTTGTTGTCTTCCTGCCTTTGCCTTCTGAGTTCTAGGATCCTAGGCATGTGCTATACACCTTGCTCTTGCTCTTTTTAAACTGACTCATTTTTGCTAAACTGTTACAGGTAATAATATTAAGAATGATAAATGGAATAGTGCCCACAGATTGGAATATTAAACACAACCAAGTTATTCTCAGATTGTATGGAATCTAAGGTGAAGTGTATTAATATATAAATGGAATGTGACTAATAAATACAATGAGTAATAACATATAGAATAGTTACATCTTGTAAACTTATACACAGTATATTTACAAATTCGTAGTATAATGAAAAAGCCAATGAATGTGAAGACATTACCATTTAAGAAATATAAATTTTTCTATATAGTGTTATCAGCAATATGATCCTACCATCAAATTCTGGAGGGTAACCAAGAGCAATGGCAATAGCCTGTAATATTTGGAGGGTTGATAGAGCATCTCTGGCTAACATTTCAAAAAAAAAAATTAGCGCAAACCTGGCACTGAACTTTTCATTTGATTGCTTATGGTCTCAAAAGAGGCATTGTCCCCTGCTAGAGGGTAACCCCATTTAAACTCTTTTTATATATGTATGCATTTTAGGAAATGTCTATGGTTTAGATTCCCAAGTGTTTTTTTCCACAGGTCTTTAGTATTAGCTATTTTCCCCATATTCCCTCCTCTAACCTTCCCTCCCATCCCCACTCCATTATTCTCCTTTCATATCATCTTTTATATCATCTATTCCCCCGTGTGCTGACATCCTTCCTCCCATGTTCCTTTGCTAGTTTCTTGACTACTGTGTGTACTCCAAGTAAAATATACATTTCTTAAGATTCAACAATAGCATCCACATGTACGAGAGAACATGCAGTACTTGTCTTTCTGGGTCCTACCTCACTCAGAATGATTATTTCCAACTTCATCCATTTATCTGCAAATTTCATAATTAAATTTTTTATGCCTGAATAATATTCTACTGTCTATATGTACCAAATTTTCATGATCTAGCCATTATTTAATGGACACTGAGGATGTTTCCATTTACTGGCTACATCTGGATAGAGCAGCAATGTTTGGATGAGCAAGCATTTCTGTACTTGTAGAAAGATACCATATAGCTGAGACATAGAACATGGAGAAATCAATCAGGCACCAGCATGGAAAACTCATTTCTACTAGCTAGTTTTCCTACTGCCCTGAAGTTCTATTTATACTATGGGGGCAGACAATTAACCAACAGTTTTACACAGCTGTGAACTCTGAGACCTACAACAATGGCTGACGTGATATGCCCACTTGTGCAATAGTAGTGTGAGTGTAATGGGAGCAACTAGTCACTTTATCATGGGATTTAAAGTTTGGTCTGTAAGACACAACTTATGCTTGATACCAATAATTGTGCTCAAAGCCAGTGTCCAGCTAGGTCATAGGCCCTAGGTGAGAACTCAATGCTATTTTTCTACTAAATAGATGTAGTAGTAAACGGTTCCTTCAAAGTTTGTCTTTACACCCATAGATTAGTGCAGATCTCAGTCTTCATAGGAGGTTTCTTTCTGCAGTAGATGGTGATTAATACAGAGATCCATGATTGGTCTATGTGCAGAGAATAAGAGCCTGTGTACAGCTCAGCTCTAAGTAGAACATCCACATCATGTCCTTTCCCCAGGGCTAGGGGATCATCATGGAAGAGGGGCCAGAAGGATTGAGTTTCTCTCTTCCCAGGTGTGTTAAGGTGACAACTGAAGTGAGCCAGAATAGGGAAGGAGATGGTCCTTGTGAGGCTACCCACTCTCCAGTAGATGGATGGCCCTCCACCCAAGCATATGTAGGCAGTACTAAGTGGACTCAGTGAATTTAGAAAAAGAGCTAGCAGAGGAACTGGAGGTGAGGGAGTGGGGATAGATTTGATCAAAACACATTATATGTACACACAAAATTCTCAAGAAGGAAAGCACAACTCTAAATTGAATAAATATTCATGGAATTAATATCATATGTAATATGTTTTAAATATAATGATAACTAATAATTTGTAGGCTTAGGAAGACAAAAGCTGTTATGATCACCAACCAGGCAAATAATCTCATTATAAATGTTCTAAACACATCAATTGAACTTCAGAATTTTTCACATTGGGTTTTAAAAACTCCAAAGACTCTGTTGAGAAGCTTACTTTAAATGTAAGGTCATAGCTAGGTTCAGATAAAAAGTACACAAGCTAACAATGTAGTTCAAAGGGCAGTAATAAAAAGAAAGCTGAGGTGGCTACATTAAAATCACACAAACAGGCTGCAGGGGAAGGGTAAAGGAGACACTGGATGGTGATAAATGGACCATCCTAAAGTTATGTACACTTAGCCATGGGACTGGAAAATGTATGAATCCAAGAGCTGAGAATTAAGTTAATTCCACTGTTATAGTCACAGACTTCAACTCTATTTGTCTAATAAACAAACAGAAAACCAGCGATAACTAGTAAATTGAACAGCATAATAACCCAACCTGACCTAATTGGTATTTACAGAACATTCCATCCAACAATAACAGAATACACACTCCTTTCAAAAAGTACAGGAATGTCCAACATGATGGAGCATATACTGGGTCATAAAAAAAAGTCTTATAGAATTAAAAGAATTGTCATTATGGAAAGACTGTTTTTTGATCATAATACAATTAATTAAAAATATAGAAAATTTCCCAGCATTGGAAATTAGATAACACTTTTCTAAGAATTAAAAGCATTGACATTATGGAAAGAATGTCACTTTTATAGAATTAAAAGAATTGTCATTATGGAAAGAATGTTTTCTGATCATAATACAATTAATTAAAAATATAGAAAATTTCCCAGCATTGGAAATTAGATAACATTTTTCTAAGAAACTCATGAGTAAAAAAGTTAAAAGGGAAATAGGAGCGTTTTTAGTTGTGTAACACTGAAATGACAAAATATCAAATTTGTGGGATGCAGCTAAAGAAAACGTGCCATTATAAATTATGATGTTAAATCCTTAGAAAATAAAATCTTAGAAAAGAAGCAAGGTCCCAAGCCACTGACCAACTCTTCCTAAGAAACTAGGAGGAGAGTAGGAAGAAAAAAAGGAGATAACAATAATTAAACAACAGAAAAGACATTACAAAAAACAACCCAGGCATCCACGAAATAAGCAGTTTTGTAAAACAGATCAATAACACAGACAGCCTCCAGTTGAGATAGCGAAGAGACAACAATCTGGGGGAAATGAGATCTGTAGATCCTACAGATGCTGAGAACAGGACAAGAGAATATACTGCTCAACTTATTGACAATAAATGCAATGACGTGAGTGAAATGAATTCTTTTTAGACAACTGAAACAAACTCACTCAAGATGAAATAGCTCACATGAATGGTCCTACATAAATTAAGTTAAAACAATAAGAAAAAAATGTTGGGAGCCTTCATACAAGGAGAACATCAGATCTTAATTGTTGCACTAGTAAAAGCAAACACTTAACAAACAATACCAGTCCCATATGAGGCTGACAGTATCTTGGTCCTCAAATGAGGAAACGATCTCCCAGGAAATGGACACTGTAAACCAATTTCTCTCCTGGGCATAGACTCAAATACTAGTAAATCAAATGTGGCAAATACATGAAGGGGTCAATGCATCAGTGCCACAGCAATTATATAAAGAATGCAAGATTATCTCAATATTGGAAAACCAACAAGAAATCAATACCAAAATTTACACATGATGAAAGTAGCCTTTAGCAGAATCAACTCTGAAAAAATGTTTGCTAATAAATTGTATTTATAAAAAGCTACAAATATATTTGTACTGAATATTCAGATATCTAAGATTTTGTTCCTAAGATGAATGGAACAGGTCAAAATGTTGTTCCTGCCAGAAATCTTAACAAGCAAATGCTAAGAACCAGTTCTTCCTGAAGACATTTATGAAATTGCTGCACTTGTGGCATGTAAATGGCACATCTGCTCAAAGACAAGCCTGAGGAAGCCTCTTGATTTCCTTGCAGTGAAGTACACTCCCACTGCACAAACTCAGAAATTTTGAGAACATTTTTTTTTTCTGGCTAGATTCTTTAATAAATGTGAATGAGAAAATAAATTGGCACAGCTGTTATTGGAACACGTGTGGAAGTTTCTGAAGAAATTAAAAAGTTGAACTGTCATAGGACCAACCACGTAATCCTGCTTCTGTGTGCCCCCCCCCATAAAACGATCGTCCTGCAAACATGTCTGTATTTACTTATGTCAACATTATTCACACAACCAACGAAATGGCCAGAACTTGGTATCAGCTGATACACAAAGGCCAGAACTTGGTATCAGCTAATACACAAATGATTAAGGAAGCAGAATATTATGTCCTGAAAATGACAGCCAACTGAAAACTGAGATCTTACCATTTGCTGCAAAATGAAGGAAATTAGAGGACATTGTGCTAAGTAGAAAAAAAAAAAACAAAAAAAAAAAAAAACGAAGAAAAATATTGTGCAGCCTTATATGTGGAACCCTTTTAAAAAAACTAAACAGTACTCCCTGACATATACAGGCCTCTGCTATGGGGGTGATAGCCAGTCCTAGAGTCTGAATGATTTTCAGGTCCCAGCAAAGGGACCAAGTTTGCAGAGCCCTAAAGACAAAGGGTAACACACCAAAATACCGGCTCATTTTCCATTCCACCTTCATTGGTCGAGCAGCTGTCGAGAACAAGGGTCGCATCTCCCGATATCCAGCAAACAAATGCAGCGTTGCATCACGAATTGATTGTTTCTCTGATGCCTACAGATGTATTTGGGGAGAAGCTCCGAGAACAAGTTGAAGAGCGGTTCTCTTTCTAGGAGACTGGGGAAATTCCACAGAAAAATCTAGACGTCATGAAGGAAGCAATGGTTTGGGTAGAGGAAGTGACTGCTAAGATTGCCAGGAAGCTGGAAAAGCAGAAGAAACTCAGAGAAGGAAAAGCAGCAACTAGCTGCACTGCCCCGGCTTATTCAAAAAACAGTGGTGCTCCAGAGGAATGCGAGGAGACGAGGAAAACCGGAAAAGAAGAAAGAACCAAAGCCCCAGGAGGCTCTTCGGGAGTAATGGAAGGGCCACCTGTTTCAGAACACTCTCTCCAAGGAGGCGTTGGTCAGTGACGCCGAGGAGACTGCTGCGGCCAGCACAAACCTTCCTATGCCTAAAAAGAAGACGTCTGTACCTCAGAAGGAAATGGCCCCTGCAGAGGCAGCAAACTGAGTGTCCCCAAGAAAAAAAGAAAATTTTCTTCCAAGGAGGAGCCAGCTAGCAGTGGGCCTAAAGCGACTGCTGAAAACAAGAGTGGCACAAAGAGAAAGTTCCAGAAAACACCTCAGGAGGATTAGAATGGACATTTCTTGAGGGGAGGGTCTTGCCCTAAGGTTACCTCCCAACCCATATGAACCCCAATAAAAAAAACGGCAAAACAACAAACAAACAAACAAAACTAAACAATAGTTTCCAGGGTTGGGAAGTTATTCAGAGATGACGCACATAAGGAGATTTAAGTCAAAAGAAAGCAAAACAGAGGCTGTCTTGGATGAACAACTCCACAGGTAAAATGTATCACATGAGGACTGTGGGTAATAAGCTTGTGCTGCTCAGGGGAATTCATGTCAAGCAAGTAGATTTTTAGCTGTATTTGATGCAAAAACAAACAAGGAGTCACTATCAGATGATGGGTATACTAATTTGCCTTACTAGCAAATTAGCTTTACTTTTTTACTGCTTTTTACATTACCACAAAAATTATACTATGCACCAAATGTTCAAAATAACGTTTATCAAAACAGTGTACAAAATAATTGTGTGAGAGAGAAATGTGACATTATGACTGAAACCAAAACTCTGAAACTTATATCCAAACACAGATTCCTACACTTATTAGAAATTTTTAGTGTTATCACCTTTTTCAATCCAACATTAAGTTGCAAAAACTATATAAATATACATTTTTGGGGGGTGAAGGTACAAATGATTTCTGGTTAGTACAGGGGATTAATCTCAAAGGTTCACATTTAATGGATTCTAAATGAGAAAATACATTTTATTTAAATGAACAGCAGGATACACTGGAGCGGGGAGGTAAAGGAAATGCTGTGGAAGCTTTATGAATGGGCTTCGGGCAGTGTGGAAGATCTGTGAGGCATGCTTTCATGGCAAGGTATCTGCTAAGCACTGTGAGCCCAGGTCAGCACTGATTCCTATATGGCAAAGCTTATGCTCTTAGTTTTTCTTTCTCATTTCGTATCATTGAAAATAGCCTGGTTGCTAAACATAGTCACAATTGGGCTTGTTGATGGTTGAGCTCATTTATCAAAGGAGGGTCACGCAGGGTCTCTGGACCTTCACCTGAGTATCCAGCCACTATTCCCAGGCAACTAGTCCAGCCTTGGAAGACGAAAGAAAAATGAGGAAGAACCCAATAGAGGGATGCTTTTGGAAACTCTTGTCAAGAAACTACAATGGACTCTCATATGAACATTTGAAAATTGCTGTTCTGACTTTCTTCCAGTTCCCTGTCTAGAACTTGTAATGCTAATTTCTCTTGCCTTTGCTTCTCCTTCACATCTCCTATTCATGATTCAAGGACTTTCTTTTCCCCTTAGAGACAAGAGCTATGCAATTTAGGAGTCTTTTAGATAGACCCACTGAAGGGGTACTCCAGTTGCCTCACCCTCATCCCTGTTCAGCATGAAAGAAGCCACAGTAGTCTGTGTCCCTATTCCCTATTGGCAGTCTGGGTAACCCCTTCAGAGGATGGTGTGATAAGAGGTAGGAATTGGTTAGGCAGTTAGGGTAAAAAGACTCCAAACAAATGTAGCCAGTTTCTTGGTTAAAAGTAAAAATGTCCTTGGGCCTGTTAGCAACATACTCTGTTCCAAAGGCCAAAAATGTCAAAAGTATTTGGGAGCTTGTACATAATCCTTAAAAGATTTTAGGGTTACCTCTTCAGAAGGGGGAATGTTGGAGTAGAGGGAGTGGGCATGGATTTATGGATTTGATCAAAATACATTATATACATATTATGTAATTCTCAATTAAAAAAAAAAGAAAATATCATCAACTTGAACTGTTCCAGCAACATTGGATAAAAGTCTCTCCTCTTGAAACCTAAGACTATGAGGCAACACTTGGTTTCCATCCATAAGTGCAACAGGAAATTAGATCTGCGCAGTCGCCAATTCAGAGAGGAGATGTGCTCTCTGCCCTGCAAACTTATTAGACATTCTGTTTTCTGGATCCCTGTCATGAGGACATTTGGGGAAACCTGGTTTCTGCCAAAAGGTAACACAATATAAACCCTGAAATTAGGACTTAGATGGGGGCACCAAACCAGCATCTCTAGAGGCAGAAGCTGATATTCCTGAGTTAACCAAGAAACCCAGAAAGACTTAATATGGCCACAAGTTAGTAACCCCCATGTGTACTGATTGAAGGCTGTGGAATCTGCCTTTCAAGGAAATTGTTGGGAGACAGTTCTCTGTGAGGATCATGCTTTTGCTCATCCCATTAAGAGAACCTGAGTTTGCAATGTTCTGCTGTCTCATGGATGCTTATATGATGGTATTACCCAACGGAGAAGTTGTGCTTGTGTACTACAAATGTAAGAAAGATGCTTCTCTTTGGATCACAGTCACTCACTGACCAACATGAATGATCCATGTTCATAAGCTCAGAGTGTTTTGCAAACAACCCACAAATGTGCAACTAACACCTGGTTTTCACTGTGGCGTCCAAACCTGGGAAATGTCCATAAGAAAATGTTGACTGTCTTGACTACTTCTACTGTAATAATGTCTTTTGTTTCTGGTTCGTCTTCAGTCAACATCAATGAGGTTGTGACAGCCTTACCTAATCTAATAGATTGTGAGTGGGGGAAGCGTCAAACCACTCACAGTCCTAGCTTTCTTAAAAAACATTTTAAATTACCCATTAATATTCAGAATATATCAAAATTATGACCAGGAAATTTTACCTGTATGTAAAGAATTTAGAGAATATTCTCCCATAGGCATAGAACACACTGCATATTTATTGAGGCATTATTTGGATATAAATATATATATTCAGTTCTGTTGTTGGCTTATTAAATTATACTACATGGATCAGTTGTACAAAATGAGGTAATGCTGTGCGCATTTAAATGGAAAAATTGCTTAGATCTAAATTAGATAAAGAAAACAAAGTTCAGTACTGCTTCTGGTATAATACATACACAAAACACATTTTAAGTTCATATGAGGACTAAGCACTTAAGAGCACTGGTTGTTCTTGCAGAGGACCCCAGTTCAAATATGAACACCCACATGGTGGCTAACAACCATCCATAATTCCAGTCCCAGGTGATCCAAAGACTTGTCATTCCATAGGCACTGCATGGTATTGGTGCACTTGCATGCATGCAGGTGTAACACTCATACACATAAATAAGTGAAATAAATTCATATGAGTTCATAAAGATTATCCAGAGAACTCTTAACAGGTGGCCCCTGGGGGGTGCGCTGGAATTGTCATATAATAGTCCAGTGACCAAGAGCTTGTGCTTATAAGAATTGGTTAAATGTTTAAAAATGCCAATTTATGGTTATTAAAGTAAGCGTGTAGATGCTGTGCAATTGTGTAAAAATTAACAAGTAGTAATTAAAGCCACACCTTAATAATGAATATTGCTCTGAAAAATTATTTCTTTTTCTACCCCTGAACTCTGGCTTTGCCTCCTGCTCTTGACTCTATCCTGTGGTCTCATAGAAAAATTTATTATTATTGATATTATTGTTATCTATTTTAGTAACTATTAGTTAAATTTTAATTATTATAATTTTGTGTATCTTCAATGGCTTCAGTAAAATGAATAATGTAAAAATTAATTATAATTATGTTTATTATTTTTACAATCATCTCTTTGGGTTTTAAATTTAAATTATAGTTTGGGGAAACTACAGTTGTTGTTTTTTAAATTTTGACACAGGGTCTCGCTTTGCAGTCCAGGTTGGCCTCAAGCTCATGGTAATCCTCCTGTCTCTTGCCTTAGGCTCTTGAATTTTGGGTCTCCTTCCATATACCACCATGCTAGGCAGAGAAACTGTATATTGACCTTGTTTTGAAAATGGGCTTATAAAAGTAATGATTTGATCATATTACAAACTAGCACTTCTGTTCCTCAAGAGACATGTGCACATGTTCACTAGGAGTAAAATACACACACACGATGTTTTCCTTGTTAGAAAAAAGCTGGGTACAAATGTGAGGATTGTAACCAATGCATGGAAGCACACTCTCTGGTAGAATTATGCTAAAAAGCGTTTGTGTAGCGGTAGGAAAAAATGATCAGAATATAGTTTCGTAAAATTGTGCAGGTAGTTTTAGAAATAAATGTGATTAGAAACAGAAAATAAAAGCAGAATATGATGACTCTTTAAATTAAAAGGTGTGTGTGTGTGTGTGTGTGTGTGTGTGTGTGTGTACACTGTGATAAACTTTAAAAAGACAGTGCAATGATGTTCACACACTAGGGACGTGTGATGAGGAGGGTTGAACCATTTTGACAATAATTCTCCACAGGGCTTTTCTAGG